ACGTGGCGGTCGGCCATCTTGGATCCTTTGTCTCACCAGCGGTGTTTGGTCGTCGAGCGCGTGGAACTGAAAACAGCTACTCGACGGCGCGAACACTGCTTGACTTCCAGGCCGTTCGGGAGCTCCGGTCTTTCGTTATTGTGGTTCCCATCGGTGTTCGGAACTTTTAGGTGAACGCGATGGCAAAGTGTATTTCGTGCGGCGTTTGGTTGTTTTAGCTGGGATCTGAGCGGTATTCCCACGAAATGTGCGCTCAGACCCCAGCTATCTACCGAACGTCCATTTGTTTAAGTAAAGTGAATATTATAAAAGTTATGTATTTAAATGTAAAATGCCGGTTCTGCTGCACGGAGGGATAATCCACTTAATGGTGTATTCAAGTGGGAGTATCCCTCTCGTCCAGCAGTGCCTGATGGTAGAAATGCCCAGAATGTTAAGTCCCCCATGTAGTCCCCTACTGTATTACCCCTGCTAGGTCAGTAAGGAAACCCCTTGCATGGGGACTTGCATAAATACTGGAGCTGTAAATAAAAACCTCAGTTGACTCCCAGAACTGTGTTTCGTCCGGTTACTGGGGGATTTGGGATATTGCCTTACTTTACCAGCGGAGATCGTGGGATTTAATATTGCCGCTCCGCTACATCCTCTGAACTGTCTGCTCAGCTCCCTCGCGCGCCGCAGAGTGATGCCGGGAACCGGAATATGACGTCATATTCCGGCTCCCAACCTCACTCTGCGGCGCGCGAGGGAGCTGAGCAGACAGCTCAGGGGAAGTGCTCCCTCGTCAGTGCCGCCCGTCCGGCATGTCAGTTAGCCGCAAGGCTAACAAGACATTTGCCCTGGGCATTTGGGGGCGGCATTTTTTGCCGCCGCCTGGAAAATGCCACCCAAGGCAAATGCCTTGTTTGCCTCGCAGCTAAAACGTCCCTGGGTGTAATGTATGTGTGTCTAGGTGTTGTAGAAAGTGTGTGTATAGGGGGCATAGTGTGTTTAGGGGATGTAGCGAGTGTGTGCATACGGGCTGTAGTGTGTGTGTGTATAGGTGATGTAGTGTGTGTAGAGGTTGTAGAGAGTGTGTGTGCTAGTGTGCTGTGTGTGAGTTGTGCTGTGTGTGCTAGTGTGCTGTGTTAGGTGTGTAGTGTGTGTTAGTGGGGGTGCTGTTTTAGGGTGCTGTGTGAGGGTGATGTATGTGTGTGTAAGGGTGCGGTGTATGAGTTGTGCAGTGTGTGTGTGTGTGTGTGTGAAGATGCAGTGTGTGTGATCGAAGGTGCTGTGTGAAGGTGATGTGTGTGTGTTTGGAGGGATTGCGTGGTGGGGGGAGGCAGGTTAATTAATACAATATATGAATGTATTTTTTTAATTGTTACCTTTACATTTACCTTACCTTTAGCCTGGAAGGGGGGACCGTGCTGCCATCCTTGGTGGTGCTAGCGGTGAGTAGAGCCTGTGGGGCAAGAGTTCACTCTCGTGAGACCCGGAGCATTGCTAGGGGACTAGCTCTATTCCCTCCCAGGGACTGGACAACACACAGTCCTGGGAGCGCTAGTCCTTACAAGGACTTTCCCCGCCGAATCCTCCACGAGCTGGAACAAGTTGCTGAGCAGTGATTATAGCCCTTCCTCTCCCAGTAAAAGTACCCCAAAACAGAATAAAAACATATAATAACCCCACAAATTATACATCTTTAAATAGCCCTGGTCTGAGCGCCCAAGTTCTCCAAATAGTGCTCAGATCCATGCACTGTAGGGGAAACGCCACCACGTTAAAGTTCTAACTGGCCGCACACGTGGTCCTATGTCCAAAATAGTTCCAGGGCGTTTGGTGCTTTTGCGGGCAACTTTCGGGAGCTCCTGCGGCTGCAATATGGGGTGCTCAGTCTGGCTCCTAGGTAGCATTTGTTTCCCTTAGTCTCAGGCACCTTCCCTCCAAAAGGCACTCTCTTGGCGGATTTCAAAGTGGTTTAAAACTGCAAACCAAGTTGTCCAGGAACCTTACAAAAAAAGTTCCATAACATTAGTGGCTAAGTCCCGCTGAGGTGACCAGGAACCCCCGAAGTCCTCATGTCGAATTTAGTTCCATAGCGGTCACGGCTAAGTACTGCTGGGACTATTCATAGGTTTGGTTAATGCAAACGGCCGCAAGAGAGTTAGCGTTCAGTTCTATTTGCATGAAGGGAAAGTGCTGAACTAGGACACCAAGGGAAAGCTACTAATGGCGGTTGGGCAGGGTAACTCCTAAACGGTGTCCCAGACCTGGACTATAGTTGGTGGGCAGGAGGCCGGCTTCCACACTCCTCCAGGAGTTCATGGCAAACGTACATGAGAAGGAGCTTTTGCCACAGTATGCATGTGGGGTATTGCTGTACTCAGAATAAGCTATGGTCATTACAGTAGTAAGATGCACAATGCCTGCAAACTGCACCATTAAAGTGTTACTCCAACCATCATGACCACTTTTGTGATATGAAATGGTCATTGTAGTAGGTGTCAGTATATCCAGTGTTTCAAGTTAAGTCAGTTTTACAACTTTGGATGTGTCCGTAAGATTTCACCACACCTACAGTCCAAGTCACTTTCCAAAATAAATCTGATGAATGGCTGTAAACTATCCTTGATAAACACAGTGTTTCTGGGATAACGGTCAAGGACTTTGATATAAGACGGTCATAAAACGATTGCTTAACCTCTTCAGGGCCGCGTGTTAGTGACAATCCAAACATGGTGATCAGGAAGGGGTGTATAGTAATTAAATAGTGATCTGGCAAACTAACACAGACATCAGAAATCGCTCTCACAGCTGTATTTGTTATGAAGCAAGGAATCTGTTGCACAAGGCTTAAATGATTTAACTATAATTTTCAGATTGTGCAAAGGCTAGGGAGTTATGATCCCAGTGTCCCCGAGCTCATTATTTATCCAGAGGCATAGCAAGGTCATGAGGCACATTGGGCACAACTCTAATATGCTCCCGCCCAACCAGTTCCTTGCTCTTTTTTTTTTAAAATATAATTATAATAAAAATGTCTAAGGATCCATTCATTTTAAAACCTAACTATCTGATCTGTCAGGAGGCTAGTATATTAAAGAAGTCTATTCACTATAAAAGTGAACTGAAGCGATTTGTTAAGACAATTGCATTAGTTAGGCCAAGGTAGCTGACTTGGAATTACAGATCAAATTGAGAATGTTTCCACTTTGGCTAATTTGAGGTTTTCCCTTGCAAATTCACTTTTTTTTTTTTTTTTTTACAGGTTTATTCAATAAAGAAATAAATTCAATAATTCTAACTGAATTTAAAATTTAAGGTAAAATAGCCAGACTTGAAATATTCTCCAAGTCGGCTGTGCTTTTAGTTTGAATACTTAATTCAATTCATTGTACACCGAGCGCAGCCTATGAACAGAGCCCTGTTTAAAAGCTCTTGATTGATGGAAATGCCCTGTGTTTAGCGCACTTTCTTTTCTCTGGTGTCCCTATAAATAGGACACCGAAGGAGAAGAGAGAGGTGTGGAAAAGAAGGTTGTGAATACTGTTTGTGGTGTTCCATATTTGGGGGCAGACTGTGGTTCTGTGTGTTTTTAGACATGCTACTAGTGCTATTGCATGCCTGTGGGGATGTGTATATGGTATTAAATGAGGGGAGGCTGCTCATGATATTTCATGCTTGTGGGGATGCGGTTTGTGGTGTTGCATGTTTGTAAGGAAACGGTTTGTGGGGTTGTGGTGGGGGAGGCTGCTTGTGGGGTTGAGTGTGGATAGGGCTCTTTGTGATGTAGTGTGTGTAGTGAAGGGTGTGTGTGTGTGTGGATGGAGTAGGGGCTGTAATGTGTGTATGTGATGAGGTAGGGGAGTGTGTGTTTGTACAGGATAAGGGCATTAAGGATAGGAACTGTTATGTGTGTGTTTGTGCGGGATGGTGACAGTTGTTTAGTGAGGATGGGGGATTGGCTCTGTAGTGTGTGCTTGTGGGGATGGCTGTAGTGTAGGGAGGATGGACACAGGGGTGCTGTGTGTTTGTGGGGCAAACATACAAAATTTTAAACCTGAGCTCAAACTCCCTCTACTCTAGGGCGGCAGCAATGACTAGTAAGTGACAGTACACATCAGCCTCATTACATACAATAAAAACCAAAGGATAAAGGTTACTTGTGCACTATCCCAAATCCCTATGTATCACTCCAATGGCCATTTAAGTGTAAGCTCACCTGCCACATCAAGGCAAAATGGCCATTGAAGTGATACTAAAAAAAAAACCCTCAATTTATTTAAATGTGCATAGCGATTTGGGATTGTGCGCAAGTAACTTTTTTCTTTGGTTTTGATTGTATGTATTAGGGCTGATGCCCCGGAGTAATGGGAGTTTGAGCACAGGACTTAATTTTGTATATTTGCTTTTGTATAACACAGACATGTTACAGTGTTGCCACCTAACCGATGTGTTGCCTATTAATGATAATATGTAATGGTTTAGAAAAATACCCATTTCTGGCTCATTAGAGATTTTTACCTTTAGCTGAAGACAGCAAGGTGAATTGTTAGTGTAGAACTCACCTAAGAGGTTTTGCCTTGCCTTGAGCTTACACTTAAATGGCCATTGGGGTGACACTAACACTAAAAAAAACTCCTGTTGTTTAAATATACATAGGGATATGGAATAGTGCGCAAGTAACTTTCTCCTTCGGTTTTTATACTACCCCAGCCCCTATACTAACCCTAACTACATCACCAAACTAAGCACTCTCAAACCATGCCTGATAGGGTATGATAAACTAAAAATCCTACTCCAATCCTCTATAATTCACATGTCTCATTAACTTCCATAGCAGCTAACAGTTATCGTTCTGTAATACGCTGCAGCTGAAGTAAGCCATATCATTGCTCTTTGCCCAGATAGGAGATGGTCGGACACCCCGTTATCAGTAAGAATACACTTTGGATAAGTTAAAAGTCCAGTCCAACAGCTGGCAGGTTAAAGTGTAACAGACACATTGTGTGTAAGAGAATTGAATTAATTCATTCTACAAATCACACAGCAGTAACAACTTCAACTGGATTGCATTATTACCCTACATTACAGAATCTAAGGAATCATGGACATATTAGAGCCAAATCCAAGATATAAAAAATCTTCTCTGGCAACCGTAAGTCATTATGTTGATAAAGTGACATTTTTTAAGGGAGTTGTTGCCAAATATTTCTTTATTCAGGACTAGTTTAGCTTCACAAACATATCTTGACAAATACTATCTGCCTTTTTAAATCAATCCCAACCCTGTATCTCTAAATATTAAACTTAAAATATTTTATATTCTATTTGTTATATTACATATTCCTTCTATTTTAAAGGAACGGAAAATGTATTTTAATTTTGTATCTCTGGTACTGGTGAAGCAGACGAGGGTTCGGAATTCTAAGCTGGAGTCCGGCAAAACATCATGTTTGCATATTTATATTTCCGTTTAAAATTGTATTTACAGCAAATGCACATCGGCTGATACTGTAACAGTAATAATAATACTAATAAGAAGTAATTACTATTATTATTATAAAAAGTTTTCACGTTGGCCTTTGTGCTTGTTGGCATTATATTAGCCCCCATTTCCCCAATTAAAGAGATGTGGCATTGCCACCTTTAGCTAATAAGCAGATGAGTTATTTCAAGCTTACAATGTTGATGGGAGAGTTTGAGAGATTCTTATAATTGGCTAAAGTAAAGTCAGTTCTTGTATGATGGTTAATAAGTCAATTATAAAGGATGGATATGATGCACTGGGAACCACTAATGCCAGAAACCTACAGCAATCACTGAGATATAGCAGATGGCAGTAAATGTATACTAAAATGGTCAGCTGGCAAGTGACAAGGTATGGAAAAAAGACAGCACGGAACATCAAGGCAAGGCATGGGCAGCATAGAACAACTGGCTATGGTTGGCATAAGGAGCAGAACTAAGGAGAGAACGATCACACATGAGATTCAGTTTAATTAGTGATTTGTTTTTTATCCACAGTTTGAGATTCATAGAACCTCATTCTGAACAGTCACTCACTAATATGACCCGAGTACACACCATGCTGCTTTCTTTGCCAATACCAGTTATATGAATGAACACGACACAGGACAATGCACATTTAGATATACATACATGCGTTGGGCATTTAAAAAGTGAGAGGCAGACCAAGAAGAAAATGGAGCATGGTAACATTACTCTGAACAAGCGACGGGAGAGAAACATTTTGAGGGATAAGTGAAAAGCACACAGCGTGCAAACGATCACTGTAGGAGGAGGTAAAATTAAAGCTCAGTTCTAAATCTTATTACCGGTGTAAGAAGTGTCGTGATCCCAGATATTCAATATATTTATGGTAATCTGTGTGCAGAGAATGCATAGATGTTATTTGCGTGAATGATAATTGATCTGCAAGCACAGAACACAATGTCAGAGAATAATAAATATTGCAAGTAGGAGATTACTAAATCCCAAACGCCTGGAATTTCCAAAAGTGGTTTGAAACTTTGTCAGGAACAACTACTTGAAAGGGACCAGCATTAGGCAAGTCCCCAACAGGTTCAAATATATCATCACATCCTACATTTCACATCCTTCACATCATCAAAGCACTTCTTCATTTTATACTGTGGGAATGGAGTAAGCTACTGCCATAGCACAGTTTTCATTGTCTTTTATGGTTGACATATGCAGTGCTTCAAAGTCACTCCCTATGCCTTCGGTTCTTCTTCATCTGTGCATGGAGACGGGTTGAGCGGGAGCAGCGACTATTAATGACTGTGAATAAATAGATAAGGTTTGACCTCTGTGCAATAGGAAGTGTGATCACATATATTCAAAAGGTTTGCTGTAATGCCAAAATTTAAAGATTTCAGATCGGAGAGAAAGCACGCTATTCACTGAAGGGCATCGCGGTTTCAAAGGCTCCATCAAAGACCGTTTATGGTAGGAAATTGTATGCTAAGTGAAACTAGGTATAAGGCCTCAGTAGACAAGCCTCACCCGTCCAACTACTCCTTTTAGAAGAGAGTTGCACAATGCACTGCTCTCCATTGTGGCATTGAAATTGAAAGGAAAATGTATAAATCAATACATGTTGTGGTCTATGACACGCAGCATATAATTACAGATCTCTATATTAATAAATAAATACATTAAAATGGGGAGTCACCTGGGATCACTGTAATACTAGGTGAGACCTAGCAAACAGCATTTTCCTTCCACTCTGACATATGAGCAGGGCCTAAGTTCTTCCTCCACCCCTTGGGCTGGGGTGCCTATTTTTCCAGCCTCAAGTTGGGTCAGGAGATACCTATATGCAGGACCTCTATAGGGCCAGGGGCGGATCCAGAGCCTGATCTTGGGAGGGGCAATTGTAGATTATTTAAAGAAATAATCCAGGCACAATAACCACTACAGCTCTGTGTAGTGGTTATGGTGCCATGAGCTCAGAGACCCCCTCCCAGAGTAAGTAGTCAAACTGTTTAAGAACAGTTTGGCAACTTATCAGGGTTTGCTGTTATCTGGGGCTGTAGTAGGGCATAGGAGCAGTGCTGTGTGTGTGAGTGGCGCAATGTGTGAGGGGTGAAGTTTGTGTGTGGGGTGTAGTGTGTGAGTGGTGCAGTATAGGTGTGTGAGGAGGACAGTGTGTGAGTGGTGCAGTGTGTGTGTGAAGGTTACAGTGTGTGTGTGTGTGTGAGTGGTGCAGTGTGTGTAGCTTGCACTGTATCCGTGTGTGTGTGAAGGGGGCGATGTGTGTAGGGTGGCAGTGGGGAGTGTAGTGTGTGAGTGGTGCAGTGTGTTTGTGTGGGGGGCAATGTGTGTTTGGTGGGGCAATGTATGTGTATGAGGCAGTTTGTGTGAGTGAGGGGTACAGTGTGTGGGGGTAAGGGGTGCAGTGTGTGTGATGGGTGCAGTTTGTGTGTATGAAGGGCATTGTTTGTGTGAGGGGTGCAGTTTGTGTGTATGGGGGGCAGTGTTTGTGTTAGGGGTGCAGTATGTGTGTATGGGGGGCAGTGTTTGTGTGAGGGGGGGCAGTATGTGTGTATGGGGGGCAGTGTTTGTGTGTATGGGGGGAAGCGTTTGTGTGAGGGGTGCAGTTTATGTGTGTGTTGGGCAATGTGTGTATGGGGCAGTGTGTCAATGTATAGGGTGTTATTGTGTGTGGGGAGGAAAGCAGATCAAAGCAAATGTAACTTTTTTTAAATGTTCTTTTAAAAAAATAATTTTTTTAATGAAAAATAAAAATAAATGTATTGTATATTGTACAGTTGCAAGAAAAAGTATGTGAACCCTTTGGAATGATATGGATTTCTGCACAAATTGGTCATAGAATGTGATCTGATCATCTAAGTCACAACAATAGACAATCACAGTCTGCTTAAACTAATAACACACAAAGAATGAAATGTTGCCATGTTTTTATTGAACACACCATGTAAACATTCATAGTGCAGGTGGAAAAAGTATGTGAACCCCTAGATTAATGACATCTCCAAGAGCTAATTGGAGTGAGATGTCAGCCAACTGGAGTCCAATCAATGAGATGAGATTGGAGGGGTTGGTTACAGCTGCCCTGCCCTATAAAAACACACAAACCAGTTCTGGGTTTGCTTTTCACAAGAAGCATTGCCTGATGTGAATGATGCCTCACAAAAAATAGCTCTCAGAAGACCTACGATTAAGAATTGTTGACTTGCATAAAGCTGGAAAGGGTTATAAAAGTATCTCCAAAAGCCTTGCTGTTCATCAGTCCACGGCAAGACAAATTGTCTATAAATGGAGAAAGTTCAACACTGCTGCTACTCTCCCTAGGAGTGGCCGTCCTGTAAAGATGACTGCAAGGGCACAGCGCAGACTGCTCAATGAGGTGAAGAAGAATCCTAGAGCTAAAGACTTACAAAAGTCACTGGCAAATGCTAACATCCCTGTTAGCGAATCTACAAGACGTAAAACACTAAACAAGAATGGATTTCATGGGAGGATACCACAGAGGAAACCACTGCTGACCAAACAAAACATTGTTGCACGTTTACAGTTTGCACAAGAGCACCTGGATGTTCCACAGCAGTACTGGCAAAATATTCTGTGGACAGATGAAACCATCTGCTCAAAGGGTCACACCTTCGGTCAGGTCACTCCTACGAATCTTGGATACGTTTGGACACAATAATCGATATTCTAGACAGCACTAACGATTCAGGAGTCCCATTTCTGGCCCTGTCATTGGTCGCAGAGAAGGCCTTTCATAGGGTCAGGTGGGACTTCTTGATAGCATCTATGAAGGCTTTTGGTTTCGGTGGATGGCTAATGGATGCTGTAATGGTCTTATATTCCTACCCAAGAGCTAGAACTATAGGAAGAGATATAATATCTGACTGGTTTAAAATAAGCAACGGGACGAAACAGGGATGCCCTCTCTCGCCGCTGCTTTATTTGTTATATATATCGAACCTCTAGCCTGTGAAATTAGGGAAAACCTAAAGATTAAAGGAGTCAGAATAGATCAAGAAGATTATAAATTATCACTATATGCGGACGATGTCCTAATTTCCATTACAGACCCTGTACCATCATTGGATGAATTGATGAAAGTTATAACTGAATTTGGAAATTACTTCAATCTCAAGTTAAATGTAGATAAAACAACTATATTAGCAAAAAATCTAAGTAAGGAAGATAGTGGGAAGATTGGGAATAAATATGACTTCGCTTGGGCTAAGAAACACTTTCACTATCTAGGTATTAAAATAACAAGTAACCCAAATAAAATCATAGAGAACAATATTCTCCCTATGATGAAACAAATAAATAAACAACTTAAAGACTTAAGAACTGCAGAGATATCATGGATTGGGAGAATAAATGTTATAAAATCATACTTAATGCCCAAATGGAGCTATATATTCCGCATGATACCTCTTAAAATTCCAAAACCATGGCTTACAATGATACAGACAGCTTTTGCGAAGTATATAGGGCTGAAAAAAAAAACGAGGGTGAATAAAAAAATACTGAATATGAATTCCAAAAAGGGTGGGTTGGGGGTCCCAGATATTCTAGAGACATATGAGACATGCGCATTGGCTCATTTAATTATATCATTAAAGGAGAGCTCTGCAGAGGAAGCCTGGGCAAAAATAGAAGCTACAAGACTGGGATCTCCAGACTTATTAGCTATATTTTGGAGTTTACAAAAGAGAAATAACATAAATATAGACCTAATTATGGATAATTTATTATTGCAGTGGAAAAATTTGAAAAAGAGACTTAAGATACTGGATAAAATAATTACGGATATACCTCTCAACATTTTGACAGTCAATATAGAAGATTTAAATATAAAAACCTGGACATCTAATGGTATTAATAATATAGAGCAAATAATGCAACAGAATCAAATTATGTCTTTTGAGGATATTAGGCAGTTATTTTCTCTCCCCTATAGAGAGAATTTTACATATTTAAGGATAAAGCATTTTATACACAAACATAGGGTCATAGAGTCATCTGAAGGATTACATATATTCATGAATCTAATTAATTCTAAAAGTAATAAAAATTTGGTATCACATTGTGCTAAATTATATAAATGATATAAATCAAGCCCAATATTTCCAGCCCTTGTATCTTGGGAAAAAGACCTACAGGTTACCATTACAAGAAATGAGTGGATAAATGCAAATAATGCCGTAACTAAGGCTATTCATTGTTTAAATTCAATTGAAAGTCATTACAAGATCATTAATAGATGGCATTATGTTCCCACTAAATTGGCAAAAATGTACCCATCCTCTCAATATAAATGTTGGAGATACGGCTCATATAGAGCAGACTATGTCCTGGTGGTCTTGCCCAAATCTAAGTCAACTATGGAATAAAGTAGGAAAATTTTGTCAAGAGGTGATAAAAGTAAATCTTGACTTTACCTGGTCTTTTGTACTACATCTGGGTTGGCCTAGAATTTAAGAAGTAAAAAAGATATAATGATTCACATCTTAACGGAGACTAAAGCAACATTAGCGAGATATTGGAAATTATCCGATTCCCCCTCTTGGGATATGATAAAATATCAGGTCCTGAACCATTGCAAAATGGAGATTGGAATCCTGAGACAAGATAATTATACTAACTCTAGAATAGAACAATGGGAGGAATGGGTAAAAAAATTAAGCCCTACATAAGGAAAATAATAGTATCTATTATGTGATCTTAGCACAGTATGTATATCGGACATTACTGTTAAATACAAGTAGTGAAAAAGGGAAAAAAGAAAAGAAGAAAAAGGAAAGGGGAAAGAGAGAAAGGGGAAGAGGAGAAAAAGGAAAAAAGAAAGGGAAAAATTTCTTTTTTTTTCTTTTTTGAGACGAACTAAAGATGATGAACTCAGTATGACAAATAACCAATGAACATAGAGACAGATTAGAAAAATGTCTTAATAATCTTACATCTTAGAGAGCTAACACTGTTGATATGTTCATAAGGTTGTAATTTTTCTATATTTTGCATTTCTATATAAAGCCGTTTTTTGGCTATTTATGGCGTAAACCTTATTAAAAAAAGGAGAAAAGAAAAGAGAGAAAGTAGCAGAAAAGGGAAAATAAAAGGGGAAAATATCAAGCCCTACAGTAAGGCACTATATGTCAGGATTTATAGATCTCGGCACAGTACGACTTTATGTTTGTTTTTATGTTTACATGGTTTGTCATAGACGGTGAATAGCTATATAAGGCTCTTCTAAGTCGAAGTGAAGACACTAAATTTGGTATGTCGTCTAATTTATAAATAAGGTGATAATTAAGGGTAATAAATTAAAATTTGGTATCTTAGAGTGCTAGAACTGTCTGAATGTATTTATTGTCCTATTGTCTTCTGTTTACTTTTTTAATTTAACCCCTTAAATCCGCAGGGCGTACTATTACGCCCTGCAGGAGCCGGCTCTAAACGCCGGCGGGCGTAATAGTACGCCCTCACTTTAATGGCCGCCCACGTGGCCGGCGCTATTCGCCCGCTGCAGATCGCGGTCGGGGGGGATGCCCGGCCCCCCAGGCAACCCCCCCTGTGGCCGGTGACCGCGATCTGCAGTCACTGATCGCAGTGACAGGCTGTCACTGCGATCAGTATTTAACGTGTGTCAGCCGATTTCAAATCGGCTGACACACGTGGCCGGCGGCTTTCTGCAATCGCGGTCGGGGGACTTACCTGGCCCCCCAGGCAGTCCCCCTGGGGTCAGTGACCGCGATCTGCTAGCTCTGAGATCGCAGTGACAGGCTGTCACTGCGATCTCAGAGCGCTCTGATCGCAGTGACAGCCTGTCACTGCGATCAGTGTTACATGTGTCAGCCTATTGGCTGACACATGTAACTGGCACAAGATCCCCCTGCAGATTGGAAGGGGGGGGTGCTTGTACCACCCAGGCACTCCCCCCTGTGGCCAATTACCCAATCTGCAGGAGGTGATCACAGTGACAGGCAGTCACTGTGATCACTGATCCTGTGTGTCAGCCAGTGATGTAAAATCACTGGCTGACACTGTCTCTGCCCCCTGTCCTGTAAAAATAAATAAAATATTAGTAAAAAAAAAAAAAATTACAGTTAAATATAAAATATACTTAGATCATATATATTATATATATATATGATCTAAGTATATATATATATATATACACACACACACACACACACACATTTACACATACACAAAGTGTATTTAAATATTAATATATATAATTATTTATATATATATTACTATCAAATTACACGTAGACTAATACTGATTAAATATATATATATATATAATTATTGTTATATATATATATTTATATATAATATAAAAAAATGTAAATACGTAAAAAAAATAAAATTACAAAAATAATTAAAAATAAATAATAAAAAATTATATAGATGTTTGTTATTTCGTTCTAACTGTATTGTGATATTAATATATATATATTTATATCAAAATACACGTAGAACGAAATAATATATATATCTATATACATAAATATATACATATATATCACTAAATATATACACCTATATATAAATAAAAATATTTAAAAAAATTATATATATATATGTATATATACACATATGTATATATATACATATATTAATTCTACACATATATTTATGTAATATTTTTACATAATTAGGTATCCTAATTAATTACAATTAGCGGGACCTGCCTGACAACCCATGCCGAAAGTATAGGGAATTTAATTTGCTAGCACTATATTTAACCCTATAACTTTCCAAGACACCATAAAACCTGTAAATTGGGGGGTACTGTTTTACTCGGGAGACTTCGCTGAACACAAATATTAGTGTTTCAAAACAGTAAAATGTATTACAACAATGATATCGCCAGTAAAAGTGAAGTTTTTTGCATTTTTCACGCACAAACAGCACTTACACGGATGATATTATTGCTGCAATACTTTTTACTGTTTTGAAACACAAATATTTGTGTTCAGCGAAGTCTCCCGAGTACAACAGTACCCCTCATGTACAGGTTTTATGGTGTTTTCAAAAGTTACAGCGTCAAATATAAGGCTTGTGTTTCATTTTTTCACATTAAAATTCGCCAGATTGGTTACGTTGCCTTTGAGACCCTATGGTAGCCCAAGAATGAAAATTACCCCTATGATGGCATACCATTTGCAATAGTAGACAACCCAAGGTATTGCAAACAGGGTATGTCCAGTCTTTTTTAGTAGCCACTTAGTCACAAACACTGGCCAAAATTGGCGTTTTTTTGCATTTTTCACACAAACAGATACTAACGCTAACTTTGGCCAGTGTTTGTGACCAAATGGCTACTAAAAAAGACTGGACATACCCCATTTGCAATACCTTGGGTTGTCTACTATTGCAAATGGTATGCCATTATGGGTGTAAATTTCATTCCCGGGCTACTATACAGTCTCAAAGGCAACTAACCAATCTGGCGAATTTCAATTTCAAATGTAACGTGCTATATTTGACCCTGTAACTTCCCAAAACGCCATAAAACCTGTACATAGGGGTACTGTTTTACACGTGAGACTTTGCTGAATACAAATATGTGTATTTTATTGCAGTAAAAGCAAACAGTATTATGACACTGACCGTTAAAATGTCATGTAGAACTAAAAAAATCAAAAAAATCTTATTTTCTCCCATTTTTTTCATATTAAATTATGTTTCATAGCTAAATATTTGATATTAAATGAAAGCCCTGTTTCCCCTGAATAAAATGATATATAATAAGGGTGGGTGCATTTACTATGAAAGAGGTGTATTACGGTTGGACAGACATGTAGCGCAAATGCCAGGTTTTGTTTACATTTTGTTTCGTTCACACTGTGTACATTTGGCTCCGTCCTTAAGGGGTTAAGTCTTTTATTGTCTATTGTGATACATTTTCAAAAATAATAAATAATGAATTGTTAAAAAAAATAAAAAAATTGCATCTACACAGGCCAACTCCCAGAATTGCATTTTATGCTAGACTCTTCCTAGTGGTTACTTATAGAATTACAACTCATACTAAAAATAAAATGGTGACAGATCCAGAGTTAAATCACACCTCATACCTCCTCTCACTCCAACACTGTGTCCTTGAACTCAGGAAACATAATGTCTTCTGCTTTACCTGTAGCCATTAAAATAAATAGGCACTAAATAAATTGCTGCCATGGCTAATTACAATATTTGAATATCTAATCAATAATCAGAAATGGTTCTGCACCAAATGCAGATTTTTGATCAGTAATCAGCAACTGTGGGCACCTGATAACCGTTTCATGGGTTGTGGTAGAAAATGTGGGCCATTAGCAGGTAATTACAATACAAAATAAATACAAAGTCCTGCTGTGTGATTTAGAATCCACCAGCACGCTCTAACACCTGTGTGTTCACCTCTCTATACACACAAAATAAAGGTTATGCATACATACAAAAAAAGGTGGAGTGTAGTTGGTATTCACATATGATATCACTGCAAAAGACAAAAAGACATGGCCAAAGCCTAGTGCAATTCAGTAAAACTTAGTACAGTAAACAGATGAGTAACTCTAGAATATGGTACTCACAAATATGGAGCCTATATGCAAGGCTCACCACAGGTGCACGTGGGGAAGTTAGAAGGGACCCCACTCCCTGTTTGATGCTGTAGAAGTTTTCTTCTTGACCCAATAAGTTCACTGAATGTGATTTCCAAAAAAATACATCCCTTTACTAACAGAAGAGAACAATATTCTCACAGTACATACCCTCACAAATCAGTCCCTCAGAAAAAAGATAGAAGGAATGAATATGACAACCATAAGCCAAAAAACACTCACAAATTAAATCATGAAGATTATAGAAAAACACCAAGAGTTCAAACAAATACACAAGACCAAGTAAGATCACCAAAAGTACAAACTAAACAACTAGACTTCAGAAGCTACAGTAAGGTAGTAAAAGAAGGGCAGTTGCAAACACACAATCACAACTATAGAGATTCTACAATAAATAAGACGAGGAGAGAAAGATCCAAATCCCCAATAACAACAATAATCCATTCAACAACACATAGTCCCCATTCCTCTCTCGCCATCAGTAATCGCCAGATCCGACCTAGATCCCACTCTCCCTCCTCAATGTCTTCAGCACCTTTAGCATCTTCATCTTTATCTTCATCCCTATGGTCAACCGACTGAGGTGGTCACAGACAATCTTACCACAAGAATCCCCCGCGAAACGACAGAGAACCAGGGAAGAAGACGACGAAACTGAAGAAGAAAAAGAAGATGAAGAAGAGGAAGAACAGAGATACCGAGAGAAGAGGAACAAAAGACAAATATAGATGGTATTTTTAATCTAACAGATCATTCTTTTACTATTGAAGAAAAGGAAATTTTAGGAAAGGGTCTTACATTTGCACCCACCTCTGATTTTAACAAATTTGATTTTTTTTATAGATATCAATCATTTTATCAGACGATTGTGCCTAAAAAAAATATTTTATGAGCAAAAAGAGCAGGCTGTACCAGAACTAAATGAGGTATATGAACACACATCACTAAAAGAAAGATCAACCTTTTTCCCAAAACATATGATCTCAGATCCAATTAAAACTTTTGAAACTATGGTAATGAAAGAGGCAGATAAAATAAAGAAAATCAACAAGTATCAAATTAACTTATCAGAAAAAGAAAAAAAATCCTTAGAAAATTTGAGAAAGAATAAAAACATAGTCATTAAACCAGTGGACAAAAGGGGGGGGGGACTGTTATTTTCGATAGGGAGAAATATATTAAAGAAGCCGAGAGACTTCTCTTGGATGATAAGACCTACAAAAAACTACTAACAAATCCAACAGAAAGTATAAAAGCTAAGTTTAAAATATATATAGATAAAGGGAAAGAATTAAATATTCTGAATGAAAAGGATGCTAAGTAACTCCATATGGACAACCCCCGCATACCAGTATTTTATCATTTGCCGAAAGTCCATAAAGACATTACTAACCCTCCCGGCAGACCTATAATATTGTGTATTAACTCAATATCATCGAGAGTATCCGAATATATAGATGTCTTATTACAACCAATAGTAGTTAAGAATCCATTTTATCTGAAAGATACGATACACGTGCTACAAATTTTAGAACATATCGAGTGGAAAGATGGATATATTGTAGTAACGTGTGATGTCAGCTCTTTATACAGCATTATCACACACGAAAAAGGCATAGAGGCTGTGAAATATTTTTTAGAAAAATCTCACTTTAAGAAGGAACAAATTGATTTTATTATAGAGGGGATTTTACTTATTTTAACCAAGAATTTTTTTGGGTTTGAAGAGCAATTCTTTTTACAGATCTGTGGTAGCGCTATGGGCACCAAGTTCGCCCCCAGCTATGCCAATCTTTTTATGGCTTATCTCCCAGGGGCATAGCTGGGGGAAGAACTTGGTGGCCTATCGAAGGTACATAGATGATATATTTTTTATATGGACAGGCACATGAACCAATTTAGCGATGTTTTTGGAATTCCTCAATAGCAACAATTGGAGAATACAACTTACGTGCACCCAAAGCCAGTCAGAGATCAACTTTTTAGATCTGAACATCTATATTAAAGACTTATCAATCAAAACCAAAAACTACTTTAAGCCAGTGGATAGGAATAGTTACATAGAAAGAACCAGTTGCCATCACGAACCCTGGTTAACCAATGTCCTTAAAGGCCAGTTCCTAAGAATTAAGAGAAATTGCACGGATGAGAACGATAGAGCAAGCACAATACTTAGAACATCAATTCATTGAAAAAGGTTATGAAAAAGAGAACCTCCTTAAAAATTTGGAAAGAACTAAAACCTTACCTAGACAACAACTCCTTACATACAAGCCTAAGAATAAACCTCAGAGGACTAATGATATACTGTTTATCTGCAATTACCACGGGAACAATAAAAGAGTACAACAATCCATACGGAAATATTGGCACATTTTAAAAGATGACCCCATATTAAATAAAATCCTACCCTTCCAACCTAAGATAATTTTTAGAGGATCAAAAAACTTAAAAAGAATGTTAGTTAAAAGTCATTTAGAAACAGAGAAACTGCAAAAGAATTTTCTAAAAGAACTCTCAGGATTTTATGGTTGTGGGAATTGCCTTCCGTGTAGGACAACCAATAGCCATAAAAGGCATCTTACCAATATGTCATATTATAGGAAGAGAATACACTATTAAAGATCACACAACCTGCCACTCAAAAGGCATTATTTACGCCTTGAAATGTCCGTGTAACCTATTATATATAGGTAGAACAAGTCGTCCATTAAACATCAGAATTGCGGAACAAATCCGCAATATAAAAAAAGGTCTTGGATTCTCAACATTTTAAAACAACCCGCAACCAAAATCCCAAAGAACTTTTTTTCTGCGTTTTAAAAGTTGTACAAAAAGATTGGAGAGGAGGGAATTTTATTAATAAATTGGGCAAAGAAGAGATGAAATACATTTTTAATTTCAATACTCTTATACCATACGGATTGAATTCGGATTTTGAACTTTGCAATTTTTTATGATTTAAATTTTTTTTCATGATAAATTAAGATCTTGATTTAGAGGTTTTTAGTTTTAAAATATTTTCCTTTAAAACTATTTTCCTTTTAGATCTTTCCCACTTAATTTATATTTAGATTATAGGATCAATCTATTTAACAATTTAGTAATTTTTAATTCTTATATTTGTCTTATGCACACCCAACTAGCACTTGTCACATTATAATTCTGAGCACTATATACAGTCTGTACTCATATGTTTAATATTATCACCTTTTTCTGTAAGCATTCACTATTTATAAACTGAAATGCATTATAGTTCACTTATGACACATTCCTGATACCTTGTGCTTTATGTGAACAAAAAGATATACATAACAATGTTCCCTTTTCTTCTATTTACCCATGGAACATGTAATGCATAGCAATGGATGTATTATGGACAATAAAGTTTAGTGAAAATTTGGAACGCGAGCATGCATTCCAAATACGGACTGATCGTGATGACATCATCACAAAGCGACGCGAGATACCACGTCATTGAAAAGAGACGGAAGTAATCAGTAGAAACTGATGATCTGTCATGGGTGGCGGTATGGAAACCGGGACCCCTGAGTGCCTAATGATAAGTGGGAGTCTTCAGCGTGGAAGTGGATTATCAGGGTCTGGTGCAGGGTAACCACATGCCCTCTGGTGTTGAGCACCAGCGTTTGCATGGCCACATACCAGAACCCTGATGCAGCTACAGCGGATCCCAGGAACTTGATATGTAGACCTCCCAGGAGCTGAATAGGGAGGCTCTGCAGCAAGAATGTATCCAGTACAGAAAACAAGGCAAGGCTAGGATAGTCACCAAACATGAAAACAAGACAGAACTAATAGAACCCAGAACCAGAGAAGGATAGAAAGCTAAACCCAGAACATGTACACAAGACATGAGGGAAACATGAACATAACATGGGCATGACTGGACAGGACTGTACATGGACTGGGTATACAAAATAAAACAAGACAAGATATAATAGGCAAAACAAGAGGAGATAGAACTACGCACTATATATGAAAAGTATGGGGATTTAGTTACATTATATGATCATACATTGCATAAGCCTGCCACAACGCCAATGTACCCCATATTCGGCAGGTCATACACAGCCTAATGTTCGCTAAAAGAACCATACTAAACCACAATAGCACTTACCTGCAAGAAAGGGCAGAGACTTGAAACACTGCTGCAGGTCCAGACTGAAAAAAGGAAAATGGAAAACAAACGGGTGTAGCAACATAAAACAAACATATACATGAATCCAGGAGACTGGGAATTCCAGGGACGGATTACAGGAATGAACCCAGAAAAACCCAGCATAAAGAAAACCAGAAACAGAACAGAAAACCAGAAAAACCAAGAAAAACTAAACAAGAAATGTAAAAAGAGTACTGGATACCAGAAGCATCACCAGACTGATCCGCAGAACATGGCATGATGTGACATAACTCCCCTCTTAAGGAGCGACCTCTGGGCGCGACAAGCAGCTCTCAGGCAGAGACCAGGAAAGAAGCGAGTACCCAGCAACTAAGTCCTCAAGACTTACCGGAGGCAAGGATACCCCTACACAGCAGGAAAGTAGTTAGCGGCTCACAATGCCATTCCGAACCCTTTTACTTCCTTTGGAAAGGTCTCCTGCAAAGGAACCACCAGCCAGGACAGAGATCCACTCCAGAATAGGAGCACTGCCACGAAACAGGAACCAAGCATCACAAGAGAACACCTGAAGCGACCACCATACAGCTTAGCAGATCGACCTCCTCCACGACAAAAATAAGGAAGCCATCTCCAGCAGACTGGTCCAGATACAGGAACTCTTGCATGCCGAATAACCAACAGGAACTAGAACAAAGAACCAGGAACCAAGCATCACAAGAAAACACCTGAAGCGACCACCGTACCACTTAGCAGATCAACCTCCTAGACGACAAAAATAAGGAAGCCATCTCCAGCAGACTGGTCCAGATACAGGATCTCTTGCATGCAGAAGAACCAGGCATGACACGACACAGACAGAACAGGAAAGCTGCAAAGTCCACTCCATGAACTCCAAGTGCCTACGGCCATCTGTCACGGGTGACGGTACGGAAGCCGGGACCCCTGAGTGCCTGATGTTGATGGGAGTCTCAGCATGGAAATGGATTAGCAGGGTCTGGTGTAGGGTAACCACATGCCCTCTGGTGTTGAGCACCAGCGTTTGTGCGGCCACAAACCAATACCCTGATGCAGATACAGTGGATCCCAGGAACTAGGAGCTTGGAATTAAGCAGACCTGCCAGGAGCTGAATAGGGAGGCTCTGCAGCAGGAGTGTATCCAGTACTGAAGCAAGGCAAGACTAGAGATAATCACCAAACATGAAAACAAGACAGAACTAATAGAACCCAGAACCAGAGCAGGACAGAAAGCAGAACCCAGAACATGTTCACAAGACATGAGGAAAACAAGAACAGGGCAGGACAGGACTGTACATGAACTGGGATTACAAAATAAAACAAGACAAGATAAGATAGGCAAAAAGAGGAGACATAACTAAGCACTATATATGAAAAGTAATGGAATTTAGTTACATTATATGATCATACATTGCATAAGCCTGCCACAATGCCAATGTAACCCATATTTTGCAGGTCCTACACTGCCTAATGTTCGCTAAAAGAACCATACTAAACCACAATAGCACTTACCTGCAAGAAAGGGCAGAAAGCTTGAGTAGCTGCCTGCAGGACATTGAAACAAAAGGAATGATGGAAAACAAACGGGTGTGGCAACATAAAACAAACATTTAAAGGAAACCTGGACATTGGGAATTCCAGGGACTGAATACAGGAATGAACCCAGAAAAACCCAGCATAAAGAAAACCAGAAAAAACAAGAAAAACTAAACAAGAAATGTAAAAAGAGTACTGGATACCAGAAGCATCACCAGACTGATCTGTAGAACAAGACATGATGTGACATGATCGGAGTCAGCAATTGAGAAGAAGCATATATAAACGAACGGACAAGAGGAAAGAACCAAGAAGCAACTGAGTTGTTTAGTTTATTAAATGAAAGTGAGACTGGAACGTGAATTCACAATGAATTTAAAATTTTACACTAAAGCAGCCAATATAGAATTTTTCACATTAGCTTTATTTTCTGATCATATACTTTGCCTTTAAAGTTTAATACATTTTGAATTACAGACAACTCACACTTTAGTGAATGCCACTGACAGACTTAAAGTGACACTGTAGGCAGTACATAGATCTGCAGTGAAGTGGAGGGACCAAGAGGAAGCCGGAGTGTGGAAAGATATGGTGGCAAGCACCTACTGTTGTTGCAGTGCCCGTCACTATGTGGATTTCCATTTGTTTTCCTAATGGGCTCGGCGGAACATATGGACACAGGGACCATATTTTACTCAAAAAAGGGCAAGAAATATTGTATTTTAAGGCAGGCATTTAATTGCTGAAACGTACTTGCTTTAATATATCTTCACATAGTTTGGGGAGATGGTGAATTTCAGTTTTTTTTGTTTTTTTTTACAGTGAATTACAGATATAGTGAGTTACTAATAATTAAAAGGACATAAAAACACACACAAAACAACCCAGACAAATCTCAATGGTGTAAGTGTTGAAAAAAAATATATAGGTTAATATTTTTCTTCTATTATTGCAACAAACAATGGTGGGATGCTGACCCTATGCACGAGCCTCCACTGGTTGCTATACTACTGGGCCATTTTGGGGAGCTACCCATGCAAACACAAAGTTGTCAGCCAACTATAATATATATATATGTTGCATTTCCTTTTAAATACAGTTGCAAGAAAAAGTATGTGAACCCTTTGGAATGATATGGATTTCTGCACAAATTGGTCATAAAATGTGATCTGATCATCATCTAAGTCACAACAATAGACAATCACAGTCTGCTTAAACTAATAACACACAAAGAATGAAATGTTGCCATGTTTTTATTGAACACACCATGTAAACATTCACAGTGCAGGTGGAAAAGTATGTGAACCCCTAGATTAATGACATCTCCAAGAGCTAATTGGAGTTAGATGTCCAGGGCATTCGCGGCTAAGTCTCCTTGAAGTCTATTTGCGGTTTTGGTCCATTCGAACAAGATGGCCGCCACCTTGTGGTCATCCATAGGAATTGCGGCCACCCAGACGAACACTTAGACCACTGTGGTGGAACTTGCAACAATGTATAAAATTAATGGAGAGCAAAAAAACAGGGCGCAAGAGTATACTGAGAATGAACAGGCAGCAGCTGAAATATCCTACCCTTCGGTGGGTCCCCGCTCAGATTTCAAGCTGGTTTTAGCTCATCTTGTGCCGTTACAGAGAGAACATCTCAGAAACATATCAGACTGGTCCCACCCATACAGGCAATCCAGATCTGAAATGCCAGCAAGTTCCCTCTGCAGAAGAGACACAGCAACCCCAGACGATCGTTTCCACCTTGTGTTTCACAAAGTGATTTTACCTAAATCATTTGCCATTTGGCTTATCCCTCCTGGAAGGGTTGATGTTCCAGGAGGGATAAGCCAAATGGCAAATGATTTAAGTAAACTAGAAAAATGGTCAGAGTTGTGGGAACTGACATTTAATGTGGATAAGTGCAAGATAATGCATCTTGGATGTAAAAACCCAAGGGCAGAGTACAGAATATTTGATAGAGTCCTAACCTTAACATCTGAGGAAAGTGATTTAGGGGTGATTATTTCTGATGACTTAAAGGTAGGTAGACAATGTAATGGAGCAGCAGGAAATGCTAGCAGAATGCTTTTTTGTATAGGGAGATGTATTAGCAGTAGAAAGAGGGAAGTTGTGGCAAACCTAGCCACTTTAGATTGTGCGGTTATATGCCTAAAGGTTGTCCTAGAAAGCTGGTCCAATTCTGTTAGGTTCTGTATTTACTTGTAACTGTAATAGAGAGCATTCGTATGCTAGCAGCCGAAAGCCGCTAGCATTCGTATGCTAGCAGCCAAAAGCCGCTAGCATTCATATGGTAGTTTCACGAACAGTGACTTTCCACACCGTTCGTGAAACGAATAAAGTACCGAATGGGAGCCCACACACAGGGGGTCGTGTGGCTCCCATTAACCGATTGCAACATTGTAGCAATCGGCTGCTAATTGATTTCCCGGGTGGCCGTCGTTCGGCTACCGACCACAAGGCGGCCATCTTGGCAGACTAGATGTATTTTAGCCAGGTCTATTGCAGGGGCCGTAGTCACAGGGTAGGAGGCTGGAAAACAGGCCCCTCCAAAAACCAGTGGCGAATTTACTTTCGCCACACTATTGAAGTGACCACAGGAAAGCATACATTTAAAGAAACTCTCATAAGCAATTTAACTAGTAAGCATTGCAGTTGGCATTTTCATATCTTGTGTTTGACAAAGTAGTTGGCTTAACAGTAACACAGTATGGCCACACAGTTTAACCTAATCCCCTTATTTGTTAGCTAAGATACGTGATTTTTAAGTATCCTTGTAAGATTAAAAAAAAAAAAGGTACATTTTTTTTTGTGGTTGGAAATATCCCTGACTCCGGTAAGTCACTGTCTGGCTCTGATGAGACTTCCTGTGCCCCCCTGCCTCTTTATCCTTGCACAGCAGTGTCGAACTACCGACAGTCTGCCAGCATAGTCTCCATGCCTGCCACAACCTAATGCTCTGTGGTTGCCCCGTGGTATTCCTGTTCATTGCTCCCACCTCTGATGCTCGCATTCAAGACTTCTCTAGGGCTGAACTGTTCCTGAGGAACTTCCTTCCCTTTTCCGTTATACACTCACCCAGTCTCCACTCTTTCAAAACATTATTATAAACTCACTTTTTCACAAAAGCGTATTAATGAAACCATTAATGGCTAAAAAAAAAACCACACACACACTAAGTCTACATTGAATACTATTCTACCAATCTACTTCCCTAATACTTCCCCTACCTTTTGTATAATTTTACCCTACTCCCTCTACAGGGGTCAAGTCCTGGGGAAAAAAAAGTGTGGGAACTCACCCAAGATCCAGCCCCTCTCCCCACCCCCAATTAAAAATAAATAAATTATACACTCGTATGCATATATAAATGCGTGCACACACTCAGGCACACACAGACACACACATACACTCACAGACTCACACACACACCCACATACTCAGGCACTCACAGATCGTCAGACACTCACACACACACACACACACACACTCACTGAGACACACATACTCAGACACTCACACACAGATACACAAACAGACACACATACTCAGACACTCACACATACTCAGACACTCACAGACACACACACAGACACACTCAAATTATTTATATTTGTAACATTTACAAATGTCCACCCGCCTCCCTACCTGGAAAGCTGGCATGGACCTGTCCCTAGGGTCCTGTGGGGCTTCAGTGAGGCGGGCGGCTGTCTACCGGTCAGACGCAGTGAGGGAGCTGTGTGTTCTCCCAGCTCTGCTCCCTGAAGCCGTGCGGGCTGTCTACTGATTCCGGGAGACAGAATATTCCGGCTCCCGGCATCAGCAAATGGTGCGAGAGGGAGCAGAGCTGGGAGAACACAGCTCCCTCGCCATATTTGACCGGTAGACAGCTGCCCACTGGGGAAGGGTTCATCAGGTGGGCCCCCCCCATGACAAGGGGAACACGGGAGCATTTGAGGGCGGCATTTTATGCCACACCCTGCTTAGTGCCTGCAGGGGGAACGGCGTTTCTGTTGTGAAAAACGCAGTTCCCACGCATTTCTGCAGGACTCAAGCCCTGTCCCTCTAGCACAGGGGTAGTCAACCTTTTTCTACCTACCGCCCACTAATGCATCTTTCTTGATGGAAAAATTTCCTTACCGCCCACCGGTTTTCGCACAAGTGCGGAATATTTTTTTGCAAAAAAAATGTTTGTTCATTCATCTTTTTATTTCTACTTTATGCATGTTTATAATGTTTTAACTTTATAAAGTTTAATGAGAAAACAATAAAGTAAATTGAAATTACCTTTACTAGTGATTAATGAGATCCTTGAGGCTGATGCTGCGAGACTAAATATTTGATATCTGGTTCGATTTTTGTAATGAACAAACGAAGGTCTCCTCTTTCGGTGATATTCAGATGATTTCTCTGTTTGCTTTTTCTATTTTCCTTCTTTCTCCTTTTTTACAAGTACTCTGCTCCTTCTTTCTCCTATTCTACAAGTACTCTGCTCCTTCTTTCTCCTATTCTTCAAGTACTCTGCTCCTTCTTTCTCCGATATTCAAAGTACTCCACTCCCTGCTATTGTGTATCCCCCTACCTACTCCAACTCCTCCCCTTCCTCTACTCGCGTGTTACACTTGTTCACAAGCACACACATTCGTATGTGCGTACACGTGCGCAATATGGGTGCACATGTGCATTCAGGCACACATGCTTGCGCTTCCCGTGTGCGAGTGTTCTGCAACCTCACACTTAGTGCGCGAGAGATGAACAGAGCGTTCATGGATGGAGGGAGGATTCTGCTACCGCCCACCTGGAATTCCAAAACGCCCACTGGTGGGCAGTAGGGACCAGGTTGACGACCCCCGCTCTAGCATTTAAGCTCATTGAGCAGGGCCCTCAACCCCTCTGTTCCTGTGCATCAAACTTGTTTGGTTACAATTACATGTTTGTTAGTCCACCCATGGTAAGGCGCTACGGAATTTGTTGGCGCTATATAAATATAATAATAATAATAATAATATACAGTGATGCTATAAATATACATTCAAAATATAAGATGCAGGCAGTTTTTTATATTCCCATATTCCGAGAAATATGGTAGTTAATCATTATGTGCTAATTCTGTATTGCCAGAATATCTGAGTGCATAAAAACTAGGTGCATGTCAGCAGTGGACAACCAGTAGTAATCATATTTTACAGGAAGAAAGATATAAAGATATTTATATTACCACCAAACAGCATGTAGGAGTATTCAGTAAAACATCTGAAAGGGACACTGGATTGATGTACTATACAACAAGCAACATTTACTATATACAAAAGTTGTAAAAAATAAATAAATAGATAATTGGAACATTTTGTAAATTGCAAGTAGATACAGAAAGAAAGAGGAGTAAAAGGGAACTGTAAGTTGGGTAGAGTCAAATATATGAAATCCTCACAAACCATGAGATATCAGCATATTTCAGTTTCATAACTCCAACAGCATACAAGAGGGTACAGAAAAACCTCACGGCACCGCCAGCTCTCAACATTATGTTCACTTCCACTAAGGGCGTATGGTGATACCCAAGCACAAGTATGCTTGAATGATATGCAACTTCAGACTAATGTGGTACATAGACACGACCGGCGAAAGGTCAGAACTGTGAGCCCTTGTATCGAGACGCTATTTTAACGGTTACTAATGTTGTCTACTACTTTGTTATGATTCAATGTTTGCAGCGCTACAACACTATTCTATTTTGTAGAAAAATAAAAAATAAAATGAAGATTGTAAAAAAAAAAAAAAAAAAAAACCTCACTGGGTTATTAACTACAGTGAGAATTCAAAGTGAATTTTAAATTTAAGGCCAAAGTAGCCCAACTACTGATTTCTATGATGTTTCCAGGTGGCTATTTTGACCTTACATTTTAAATTCACTTTGAATTCTCTCTTAAGTGAATAACCCTGTCAGTCTATGAAAGCTCAGACCATGATCAGAGCCTAGAGAAACCAATCTGGAAAAGAAATAGACAGGGGAGCAAGAGAAGAAGCAAATTAAGAAGTTGTAGAATTAAAATAGTATATACGAGTAGTGGAAGAAGGTGAAGAGAGAGAGGATTTTATAGAGGCAGTTCTCTGAAAACCACAAATATATATTATTTGATCTTTTTGCTATAATATATGATTCTCAGAGTTCGCACAAAGTAACATATACCATTATCAGTTATTACACTAACACTTGATTTCATGGTAGATTGCTCTTAAGGCACACCCAACAGCCCAGGTGTTGTCAGTATTCCCAGAGGAACAAGGAAATGCTTAAATCCTAGACCTGTTATTTAGACCTTTGAGGTTTGAAAACCATTAGACCTAGAATTCAATAGCCTTGCCTTATTTTTCTTTTACTTTGTATTATACTCACTCATACGGAGTGTGTCCTTGCATCCCACAAACATCTCCCGCCTCAACTACAGGAAACCTTCCTTACTGGTCAATCCCAGATTGACCTCTCCGCTCAGGAAAAGACCTGCACCAGCCTTCTGTTCATATTCACATCTCAAAGTTGCACTTTTAAGAATTGTGTGCAACAACGAAAAACAAATTCTCTCTTTTGTTTGTATTCGTTAATTTTCAAACTATAACTATGATAACGCTAACAATATTTAATACATCGTTAATCATGGGGATTCAATTTTATTTTTATTTCATTCTTTTAGAACACGAACATGTTAAATAATAAATGATCTAAGAGGAAGAGGAAGTTCTTTCTTTACCAGAAAGTCTTTTGTATAATTAGCTAAAGCAAACCCAAAAAAACACTTTGTTGTAGTTCCTCAAAAAATTAAAATATCTGCTTCCTCTTTTATTAATGGTAATTCATAGATGTACACCCTGAGAAGATGTGAAATCTTGCCATAACAGTATAAACTAACAGGGCTAGTTACCGAAGTGAGGTGAAGCAGTTCGGCTATTTTGACTTTAAATTCACCTTGAGTTCTCACAGTAGGGAATAACCCTATAAAAAAACTAAAAAAAAAACACCTCTTAGAGTGACATACAACAAGCTAGCAGTTAGTGACCCCAGCCAGACTGGTGCAAGCCAATAACACCAGGGATGTAAGTTGGAATGTTCTAATGCTTCCAAACTATTTTGTGGGACATTCTAGTACTGGGTTGCTACTTTGGTGTCCCACTTCTGGAGGTATTGGAGACAAGTTTAGTAAAAGCACAGAGTATGTGTTTCAATAAATGCACTTGCACTACACTAAACGAACACAGTATATTCTGCCCGTGTGAGAGCAGTTCAGTAACACTATGAGCATTGGCATCCATCAGAGTGGGACTGTCCACAAGGGCTTTTGCCCACTTTGTTTCAAATCCCCACTCTGTCCTGAGAGGCAAACTCTTAAAATAATAATAATGATAATAATAATAAAAACAAATAAACCAGGAGGCTAGGAAAGCACGTTATAAAATTTATTTTCAAACTAGCTCTCATTCTTCCTGATGATCAAGGTGTTGGCTAAATTCCCATCAAAACAGATTTTGGGAACATGCAAAATCCTGATATGTTGGTACTCCATAAGGACTGAATTTGGAACCACAACGGTAAAATGCTATTTTATGCATTTATTATTATTATTTTTTATAGGGGCGGAAAGAGGTCTAAAATTAAATTTCTCTCTCCAATTCCGACAATTGTTATTGCATTACATTTCATATTTATTGTAACAAGGGTGAATTTACACCATGGGTGACTTGGTTGTGTCTAGAGTGTGACAGCTTTCAGTTTTTTTGCTTAATGCGAGGACTACAGTGATCACCACTCTTTGGATCTCTAACTTTAAGATCTAGCAAAATCCATCCTCTATAACAGTAACAACAAATTTGCCCAACTACTACTATTGGAAGACCAAAACTGGAGTCTCGTTTTGAAAGGGCAATGCCACCACAAACTACTATATAGAATAATCTTTAAACATTATTATTGCTATAGATAATATATTTCTAGAAGGCCTCGGTAAGGTAATACGATATATCATATATATGCTTTGTCAAATTTCTGGGAGTGAGAAACATGTCTGTATACCCTCTAACAATGGATAACAGAGGAGGAACATTGATATAATATACATACCAGTCATTATCATTTTATCCCACACCACAACTTTCTTTGCTCTTTGCTATAGGTAAGAGGAACTATATCAAAACTTCTGCCCTTCTTCATGAGTTGCTCTGTTTATTTTGTACTATGGATTCCACTCTCTGAGCCCAGCCTGTACAGTGCTCTTATCAAGTGCTTACCAATCATCAGCCTGGAGTTCTTTATTTTGGTCCATTCCCTTGGTGGAGGAACGTTCAACTCTTATGCCCGAAAAATTTTATTGGGCCTCATCTTTTCAGCCCTCGGTGATATGTGCTTGATTTGGCAAGACTACTTCCTCTATGGTAAGAATGAAAAGAGATCAATAGCAATTGTTCCACAATTAAAATTATTACCTATTCACGGTATACTTTATGCAAATACAAGGTTCTATGCTGATAATTCAGTATTTCTTGGATAAACTGGACTGCCTATAATGACTAATTGCTGGCCTTGTATTCTAAATAAAATAAAACATGTTTTTTCCCCACACAAGGTGATGGTGTGCCATATTTATATGGCAGGGGCACATTGTTCCCTAGGGGTATCATCTTTGATTGATGTTAATCATTATTCCTCTTCATGTATTTATCCTGCCTCTGTTGAAACTCAATATACTTGATTGATATCATCTTCAAAAGCAGGTATCAGAACAAGGGAGGTTAACAAGTGATCAGGCAAATATTTACAGGAACATTATAATACATACAAAGCTGTATTCCTAACATTAAAGAGTCAGTCTGACTCCTCCTCCGTGGAATTTAAAGTTTTAAAAACCCTTTAAACACTTAACTGCTTCAAACACTAAAACCCCTCGACTCTGGCACTGCCTCTGCTTCCTCCAATGTCAGCGCCTAGGGGAAACCTAATGCGCATGCTGTTTTACTCTGTGAAACATTAGGAAGCATCGCTAGTGGCTGTCTGGTAGAGGCAGTTTTAACCCTGCAGTATAAAAAATGCAGTTTCTCTGAAACTGCAGTGTATTAGATTGCAAGGCTAAGGGGGAAAGGGACACTGCACACAGATCATGTCAATGATATGACGTGGTCTATGTGCCTATAGTATCCCTTTAAGTAATCATTAAAAAAAAAGTGTATTTGTTCTGAGGTAAAATTAACATTACTTACTAAATCCTTTTTACTCACAACAACAACAACATTATACTATTTGAAAACTATTTGAGTGTGGCTTTAGCTATGCTGAATTGGTCCCTAAGCAACTTTCAAGAATAAACACTTACCACAAAATTATCACATATTTAGTCCATTTCCTGTAGATGCCTTATGAGTTCATTAAACTACTATTGGGTGGTGAGTTTAGGCCACAATTATACTAGTTGGGACAATTCTCAAATTAGATCAGCTAGAATGCTAAACTCACTGTTTAGTTAAAAGTCCTCACAACGGACAGATGGATCTTGAAAAGGAAGTTTTTCTGTATTGGGCAACATTGGATGACACGATCATCCTGTTCAAAATTCTGGCTTGTATTTTTTTATTATTGTTTTCGTGCCAAACATATTTTATGATTGTAACTCACCTTACATGTCTCAGTCCACAATGCCTGTACTGAGTCCAAGCCTCTAACATTAAGAGTTTTTTTTTCATGTTTGTTGAGAATATCTGTCCAAATAAATTCTTTAATATCTATTTACATGTACACATGTTTATTTCTTTTTCAGGCATGGTAATGTTTGGATTGGCCCATCTGATGTACACAATTGCCTTCGGCCTACGTCCACTAAACGTCCGCGTCTTTATTGTTTTTGCTATATTTAGTGTCACATTTTACTCTGTTATTTTTCCATACTTACATGGACCTTTCGTTTATATGGTGGCTGGATACATATCACTAATAGGCACTATGGCATGGAGAGCCATGGCTAGAGTCAGCCTGGCATCTCACAACTTCTCCTGGACATACTTGTCAGCTGCACTTGGCTCTTTACTTTTTATGGTGTCTGATGGTGTCTTGGCCGTTGATAAATTTTGTTTTCCCATCTCAAACTCCCGCACTATTATAATGGTGACTTACTATGGTGCTCAGGCGTTAATAGCATTATCTATCACTGGAAACTCTCAGGATGATTTTATGTGGAAGAGTAGATAACAAAAAATATAGACATTTAAATTCAGGTATACAGCGTACATTAACATGATTGTTTTTAAATCACATGCTATGAACTTAGTGGAGTGCTCTAAAAGGACATAATTCAACGCTGCAACAATGTGAACAATTTGTGCCCCAAGCATCTACTTTACAAGCAAGTCTATAAACCAAAATGGTGTCGGAGATGCTTCAAACTTAGACAATGAATCTGCTTGGAGTGTTCTGTATGACAAAAAAATATCTATCAAGTCTGTATTAATAGAAAATGTACATTTGCGCTAGAAGGCCTGAATTTCAGTTAGTGGCAATAGGTGAGGTAACAAAATGGAAGTCAAATACTTTAAGATTGCTGGAGATTTTACTGCTACACATACATTAAAGAAAAGCTCAGTTTGATCATGCAGAGAAGCTTAATGGTCTCTCAAGAGCACATTTCAGAACAAGAGATTTATCCAAATCCACTAAACTGGAAATTGTGGAGAAATGGAAAGAGAATTGCAAATTAAAGGCCAAAGCAGCTAAGATGGAAACATTCTCCAAATTAACGAATTTATCCAAAATAGCTATTTGTAACTCCCTGGTCATCTTCCCACGAATTACGGTTTGGTGACTAGCTGTATCAAACTATAGTTCTGAGTGAAGTGTTATTTTTCTCATAGCTGACCCTCACCTGGTTAACTGCTGTCGCAGCCATAGGGATATTTACTCCTCCATGTCTTCATTAAGTGCATGGTTATATGGAGTTTGATAGTTACCACAAATAAGAATACCCACTGCACACCAAGTAGCATAAATACAATAACACCTTATTAATTGATCCATAGGCACAACAATACTCATATGTAACTACATAATATCCTTTTGAAAAATTCATATAGTCCAAGAGGAATTGTAAGTATAAACACAGGTAATTAACAGCAGTTAAAAAAAAAAAGCAAATCAAAAGTAAATGATCTGTACCAATAGGGTGACCTCAAGTGATAGTAGTGTGGGACTGGAGCTAGGGTAACAAGTCACCCAACGTTTCGGTCTTGTGGGCCTTTGTCAAAAGGTAAAAACATATTGTGTTTGTTACTATGCAGAGATTGGCTGGCTTAATTAATGAACTGGGGGCTGGTGGCAATCAAGCAGGGAACTCCAAATTTTAGACCAATATAAATATTTATAGAAAATAAATTCTCCAATCCTTTCGAGTGTCCGGTTAGGCCAATGGTCCTCAAACTCCGGCCCCCCAGATGTTGCTGAACTACAACTCCCATGATTCTCTGGCTATCTATGTAATTCAAAGAATCATGGGAGTTGTAATTCAGCAACATCTGGGGGGCCGGAGTTTGAGGACCCCTGAGTTAGGCTGTTTTAAGTAACATTTGATTGACAATTTCCTGACTAGTGAATAACCTTGTCTGTGTTTCACCTAATTTTATAAAATATATTTTATTCCAAACACACATTTCACTTTCTTCATCTCTGAGACATATTCATAATTCATCCCCTTCCAATAAACTCTGAAAATTAGAGATGTTTTTTTCCCTAATGCGATTTTGTAAGTCAGCTGTAAACTCGCATAGAGTTGCCATTATTTCCCGGTATTTATGGCCAGTAAAAATTCCTCCTCATCCCGGTTGATAATGTAATGACTTCATGTCATGAAAATGACTGTAACCTGTAATAAAACATGCAAAACACTTCCTCTTCCACTTATGATCATTAAAGGAAAAACCACCATAGGATTCTTAAAAATAAAAGATTGTGTGTATTAAAGGATCACTATAGTGTCAGGAAAACAAACTCGTTTTCCTGACACAATATCATCCTTAGGACCCCCCCACCCTCACGGTCACCCTCCCTTGGCACTGAAGGGGTTAAAACCCCATCAGCTACTTACCTTAATCCAGCGCCGGGCTCCCTTGCCACTGGTGACCTCTCCTCCCCCGCCGATGTCAGCTCCCGAGTGGAGCGGAATGCGCATGCGTGGCAAGAGACGCACGCGCATTCAAACAGTCCATAGGAAAGCATTTCCTATGGAAGTTCTGAACGTCAGGAAGACAGCCACTAGAGGCTGGATTAACCCTGCAATGTAAACATAGCAGTTTTTCTGAATGTTTACTGGCACCCAGACCACTTTATTGAACTGAAGTGGTCTGGGTGACTATATAGTGTCCCTTTAACCCCTTAAGGACCAAACTCCTGGAATAAAAGGGAATCATGACATGTCACACATGTCATGTGTCCTTACGGGGTTAAACATATCTATGTGTATTATTTTGTAACATCTACATATGAGTATTTATGAGGGATTTACCTTTGCTCTGTTGGGACGGCCATCTTAACCCCTTAAGGACCAAACTTCTGGAATAAAAGGGAATCATGACATGTCACACCTGGCATGTGTCCTTCAGGGGTTTAAAGCTCTTTGGTCAAAGACACCACTTATCAGGCCTCAAATCCTGACCTTGTAGTTAAGTGCAGGACATCTCAAAAGCTTGTTCTGAGCCTTTTAAGCTACTTACATTGTGCACAGTCTTTAGTCAGATATAGGGTACTTACGACCAATGAGAACTTAATGAAGGCTCCTTCCACAGAGCAAGGGAAAACCAGCTAATATAACTTTTGTTCTCTTATGGTCATGTTTCATTATAACCAAGAGCACCCCTGAAATAACCTTGTAAACATAAAAAAGAATGTATCCTATTGTTTGTTATCTTACTCAGGAGTGATCTCGGGTTCACTGCCACCTTGATCAGGTAAAAATATATTTTTTGAGCCCGGTGGCATCTGTAAATAATCTCCTTCCCTTACCACACTCGTTTTCCTCAACATTAGGGGAAATATGGTTAAGAGTAATTAATAGAATTAGTAATATAGGATTAACTACAGCACTTCAGATGTTTGTGGACTATATTTCCCATAATACTCAACTAACATTTAAATTGACTTAACCTCAGGAAATGCCACCAGCGGCTGACCTTGTTCTTTCAGTTGTTTGTGGACTACATGACCCATAATGCTTACTTAACTTTATGTAATCCAATGGTTACTCTTGTAGGAAAATATAGTTTTTAAAGATGCACTGTAAAATAGAAATATATTACTCATATAATACATAACCTTTAATGAAAAATTGTTATAAAAAAATAAATCTAAAAACAGGTGGTGAAAGCGTGAATGTGCTCATGTAACCTGTACAAAATGACAGTGCAGTTAAAGGGACACTATAGTCACCCAGACCACTTCAGCTCAATGAAGTGGTCTGGGTGCCAGGTCCCTTAGGTTTTAACCCTTCAGATGCAAACATAACAGTTTCAGAGAAACTGCTATGTTTACATTTCGGGTTAAGCCAGCCTCTAGTGGCTGTCTTCTGGACAGCCACTAGAGGCACATCTGCGACGCTGGAGGCATATTATGCCTCCATCGCGCAGAGCGTCCATAGAAAAGCATTGAGAAATGCTTTCCTATGGACACTTTGAATGCGCGTGCAGCACTTGCCGCACATGCACATTCGGCTCCGCTGACGTCAGAAGGGGGAGTTGACGTCGGCGGGGGAGGAGAGGTCACCAGCGCAGAGGGAGCCCGGCACTGGAATAAGGTAAGTGGCTGAAGGGGTTTTAACTATAGTGATCCATTAAAAATCAACAAATTTACTGTTTACTTTGTATTCAGTCTTGATTTATTGCTTTGGTAACAGGCTTGTAAAAAGTTCTATGGATTTATTTATATTGCAACAAAGTAATAAATACTATATCATTGTGTCAAAGAAACCGATTACAGGGCTTGACATACAAAGTATCATTAAGATGTTGCTAAATAGAACACAAAAAGTAGTTTAGCACTTCCTGAGCCCCTAACACTTTAATGCACTACTTCTATCTTAGTAATTCACTAGAGACCGCTTCCTATTACTGTCCATACTTTAGACACTAATACATTCTGTCTTTCAGCACTGGGCTAAAAAATTACAATTCTGCCTTAAATGATTACTTCAGCGCCATGACCACTTCAGCGATTTGAGATGGTCATGGTGCCTGGAGTCAGTATGTGTCAGTCATTGGCTTTAAGTGGTCAGCTGTTGCTCTCAGCCAATGAACAATGACCACTGAGGCTTCCATCTTATGCAGATGTTTGTCACTGGAGCTACAGGGAGCATCACAGTCCAGTAGGGATCTAGGTAAGGGGGCAAAACATTGCTAAATGGTTTTCCACATTATCGGAGAACTGTATCAGGGTATTCCTGGCACCATAAACAATGCGGCCGGTCTTAGTGGTTATGATGCTTGGAGTAACCCTTTAACTAAACTTTACAGGGAGTGCAGAATTATTAGGCAAGTTGTATTTTTGAGGATTAATTTTATTATTGAACAACAACCATGTTCTCAATGAACCCAAAAAACTCATTAATATCAAAGCTGAATATTTTTGGAAGTAGTTTTTAGTTTGTTTTTAGTTTTAGCTATGTTAGGGGGATATCTGTGTGTGCAGGTGACTATTACTGTGCATAATTATTAGGCAACTTAACAAAAAACAAATATATACCCATTTCAATTATTTATTATTACCAGTGAAACCAATATAACATCTCAACATTCACAAATATACATTTCTGACATTCAAAAAACAAAAACAAATCAGTGACCAATATAGCCACCTTTCTTTGCAAGGACACTCAAAAGCCTGCCATCCATGGATTCTGTCAGTGTTTTGATCTGTTCACCATCAACATTGCGTGCAGCAGCAACCACAGCCTCCCAGACACTGTTCAGAGAGGTGTACTGTTTTCCCTCCTTGTAAATCTCACATTTGATGATGGACCACAGGTTCTCAATGGGGTTCAGATCAGGTGAACAAGGAGGCCATGTCATTAGATTTTCTTCTTTTATACCCTTTCTTGCCAGCCACGCTGTGGAGTACTTGGACGCGTGTGATGGAGCATTGTCCTGCATGAAAATCATGTTTTTCTTGAAGGATGCAGACTTCTTCCTGTACCACTGCTTGAAGAAGGTGTCTTCCAGGAACTGGCAGTAGGACTGGGAGTTGAGCTTGACTCCATCCTCAACCCGAAAAGGCCCCACAAGCTCATCTTTGATGATACCAGCCCAAACCAGTACTCCACCTCCACCTTGCTGGCGTCTGAGTCGGACTGGAGCTCTCTGCCCTTTACCAATCCAGCCACGGGCCCATCCATCTGGCCCATCAAGACTCACTCTCATTTCATCAGTCCATAAAACCTTAGAAAAATCAGTCTTGAGATATTTCTTGGCCCAGTCTTGACGTTTCAGCTTGTGTGTCTTGTTCAGTGGTGGTCGTCTTTCAGCCTTTCTTACCTTGGCCATGTCTCTGAGTATTGCACACCTTGTGCTTTTGGGCACTCCAGTGATGTTGCAGCTCTGAAATATGGCCAAACTGGTGGCAAGTGGCATCGTGGCAGCTGCACGCTTGACTTTTCTCAGTTCATGGGCAGTTATTTTGCGCCTTGGTTTTTCCACACGCTTCTTGCGACCCTGTTGACTATTTTGAATGAAACGCTTGATTGTTCGATGATCACGCTTCAGAAGCTTTGCAATTTTAAGAGTGCTGCATCCCTCTGCAAGATATCTCACTATTTTTTACTTTTCTGAGCCTGTCAAGTCCTTCTTTTGACCCATTTTGCCAAAGGAAAGGAAGTTGCCTAATAATTATGCACACCTGATATAGGGTGTTGATGTCATTAGACCACACCCCTTCTCATTACAGAGATGCACATCACCTAATATGCTTAATTGGTAGTAGGCTTTCGAGCCTATACAGCTTGGAGTAAGACAACATGCATAAAGAGGATGATGTGGTCAAAATACTCATTTGCCTAATAATTCTGCACTCCCTGTAGTTATTTGGTAGACATGAATGAATCCCCCAAAGCATATTAGGATCAAGTGCACTCGATGCGTGTTTTGCCCCAAATTTGTTCACACAAGACAGTTAATTTTGGCAGTGCAGGACGAAATGATTGTGGACTGCATTGCTTATGATGCTCATCCAGCCATTAGACTGCCCAAGCATTATGGGAAATGTAATCCAAAGACACCTACGTACATTTCACACAAAGCAGCCCTAAATTTAGGAGTGCAGAGGTTTGTGGACTATATTTGGCAATGTAGTACACAAGCACCAAATAAATGTTATCCAATCATTTCCCTTGCTCTTCCTAGCTATCTTAAACCCCCCCCCTTCCCACCCTCCATCATTGCAGTTATGCCCCTGACCCAGTTTCTCCATTGTATGACTATGGCCTTATCCATCAAGTACCATGTCTTTATAACCATAGCCATACCTTCTTCTCCACATTCATGATTCTATGAATCTCACCCAGTGATGCCCATTTCGTCTTGCTTCACCACCCACCAAGGGTTGCAGACATTCTGATTCCTTTTGTGTTATGACCATATCTTGCTCCCTAATCCCCATTTCTACTCATACCTCCTTGCTCCTTATTCTATTTTCATGGTAATATCTTCTTGCTCCTTCCTATTTTCTTCAATCATGTCCATCCCCAATTGCTTTTTATTCCACTCATAATTCAAAGCTATTCATTGAGCTTCTAATCCTTCATAGCTTGCCCAATGTGGACATTACTGATTCTTTCACAAACGAGGTCTAGTCTAGATTTGTGCCAAAACCTTTTTAAGATGCTTTATCCAAATAATTATTTTTAATCCACACCTGAACCAAATCGATCCGTCCGGGATATATTCATTGGGCTGTGAAGTAAACGAAATATATTTCAAATGTACCACCCAAAACTAATTTTTGTGTTTTGTGAACATGTTTTGTTTATTCCTCTTAAGTTTTCTTCCCCTCCCCAATCAGATCTATCCCTAACTGATTTTCCTCTCTTACTTGATTAAGTCTATTACTCCCTTTTGCCTTCCCTAACCATATCGATTACTGATTGAGCCTTCCTCTTCCTTTTTACCTAATGAAGTCTATTTGTCATCCTCTCACCTAATCAGGTCCATTCCTAACGGATCATTCATCCCTTCCCCAATCCGGTCTATTCTCTCCTCAATCTTTCTTATTCAGCCCAAAGAGGTAGATTGCTCATTGCTCCTTCCTCCTTATTTTAATCCTGTCCACTCCTCTTGGCTTCTTCCTACATTCAGCACAATGATTCCACCACAGTTATGCACAAACCACTTGACTCAGGTCGTGTCTTCACAAGCACTACGAAAGGCAGAGGAGGTACTACTTAAAGGCTTGATAGTTCATTGACAAAAGCTCTTCTGATCACTAAATGATATTTTGCTCTATTGAAAATGAAAGTTAGATATCATGCAGCTTTATTATCATTCTTTCCCATCGAAATTGATATCTCTTTAAATACTGATTAATAAAAGAAAAATACAAATCCAAAATATTAATTTGGAGGAGCTGCTTATTAACAACTACAGTCTAGCGGCAAATCCACAAAAGGATTTCCACGATCACATCCTCCCCTTCCCCTTTTACTCCATTGTAGATAAGATAGAGTTGGAAACATAGAAACATAGAATGTGACGGCAGATAAGAACCATTCGGCCCATCTAGTCTGCCCAATTTTCTAAATACTTTCATTACTCCCTAGTCTTATCTTATAGTTAGGATAGCCTTATGCCTATCCCACGCATGCTTAAACTCCTTTACTGTGTTAACCTCTACCACTTCAGCTGGAAGGCTATTCCATGCATCCACTACCGTCTCATTAAAGTAATACTTCCTAATATTATTTTTAAACCTTTGTCCCTCTAATTTAAGACTATGTCCTCTTGTTGTGGTCTTTTTTCTTCTTTTAAATATAGTCTCCTCCTTTACTGTGTTGATTCCCTTTATATATTTAAATGTTTCTATCATATCCACCCTGTCTCGTCTTTCCTCCAAGCTATACATGTTAAGATCCTTTAACCTTTCCTGGTAAGTTTTATCCCGCAATCCATGAACCAGTTTAGTAGCCCTTCTCTGAACCCTCTCTAAACAGACCCAACTATTCATGACTGGGCTGTTAGACTTGTGCATTTATTGCATTTTTTTCTTAAAACATATCGATTAGTTTGACAACTGATTTGTCTAAAAAAAATTTTTTTTTATGGAATTCCCATCTATTGGCCAGCTGGGCAAAAGGTTCTTTGTACAATTTGATTAATTTAAAAACTAAACAGAAAAGGTTTGTTTTTTTCTTATGAATCAATTGGTTTTTTTAAAACATTTTTTATTTATTTATTTTTGTTGTGCAAAATGGGTTACAAACAGGCCTACAGTGCCACGACAGCAGTCTCAGGCAAATCAAAGCATTGAGTATCATAACATAAGATTGAACTGCACATTTTAAAATAAGTAAACAGGATAATGCACTTCATGCCAGAAGCTGAGTAGGTGAGCGTAATACTAAAAGGTTATAAAAAAAAAAAAAACTGGTATTTTTGGAGGTCAACATAGGATAATAAAAATAATAATAATAGCATGCCTTGAATTTATAACTAGTGTCTGATAGAGTAATACGTTAGCATGGAATTGTGGATAAACAGTGAAAAGTTCTGGCAATTTGCACATATAGGCATATCGCGTTTCAGATGAGGTGCATGCTAGCTAAGTATGATTTATAATGTTAGGCCATAATATGTGTAGCTGCGGGTCAATGTTAGTTACACCTTGTTACAGTCAACATGCTTTTATGTCACTTGTTAGAAACACATGAAAAACAAACAAAAAGAAAAACATGACAAACAAATATCACTGTTTAAGGCAACGATTAAGACAGTGTAGACAGCTTGTGTCACAGTAACTGCTAAATTGAGTGCAACAAGGAAGTGGAAGGATTACATTCTATTGCCATGGAAACTGAAGACATGTATGAGGCTACCTGGATTTGTTACAGTTCCTTGATTTTTCAAACTCTGTTTTCACAAACACAAGTTAAGCAGAGGTCGTCAGTCTACCCCCCATGCATGATCCCTTTACAAATAAGACCTTTTCCCACACAGTAACTGTTCCTATTTACACAGAAACATATTCAAAAAAGATTTACTCAATAAAGACTGCATTGTGATGAAGAGTACCTTATTATCAAGGCAAAAATAAAAGAGCTTAGTAATAAAAGCTAGTATCTTCAGCTACTGCAAGATCCCCTTTTCTTCCCCTGCACATTCTTCCTGTAGCTGTCCAATCACATACTTCTCAGTGAGAAGTCTTTACAGTGCAGGTGCTCAGGGTAATTGCCTGCCTCTTGAGTTTAGTTCCACTGAGCTAAACTACCAGGAAGTAACAGGACTGACATCGTGATTGACAGCAGGGGAGGTGTAACAAGGTTCAGTGAAAATAAATGAATACATAAATAAATAAAAGGCACATACTCTTTGTGGCAAAAGTAACCTTGCCACTGGTTTTGGAGGGGCCTGTTTGCCAGCCTCCTGCCCTGCGACTATGGCCCTGGGATGCATTGCCCTTCTAGGAACTGATGTGGGCATACTTGATTTTATTATGCTGCTGGCCCTTTAAGAACCATCTGGGGACATACTGTGGAGTTACTAGGTGGCCACCATTTCATGTATCAGAGGCACATGGTGAGAACAATAGATGAAGCACATGGTGAGAACAATGGATGGCGGCCATTTTAACTCACAGACACTGTTTGGACTTTTCTACACGGTGCCATCTCGCCGGTATTTGGTGCACAAAGACATCGTGCAGTAGTTTTAAACTATAGAACAGGGGACACATTATACAGTAATTATTTTTCATATAGCCTGTATATGTTCTGCGGAATCTGCATTAAACTGTATCTTCCAAACTACTGAACAGATCTGGGTGAATTTTGGATATGTGGTTCACCCAGATACCCCGGTTCCGAGGATATACTTTTTATGGGGTTATTCCAGGTTTTGGGGTCCCTGTGATATGTTTGATAATACTGTATTTCTCTGCCTGTGATAATTATATTAACCATTGTGTTCAGTAATCATATCACAGGCAGAGGGGAGGATTTTGTGTGGGAGTGTCTGTGTGTATTGTACGGATTAATTGGTTGTATTTCAAAACCCTGTGGGCAGTACTATGTTTGTGGATTGTGAATAAAAGAGGCTGTATGTGCCAGTACAGTCAGTTCTGCTTGACCTCAAAACGAAGTGTGTTCTCGTTATTGGGGGAATTTGATTGTATGCTGATTGCCAGGAGTGTAAGCTGATTGTATGCTTTTCCTGTTCAGCTGCTTACAACATTCATGTGCTTGAGAGCATTCATATGCTTCTCTGGTTCGGTGGTTGTGGTGTCTGCTGTAGTTCTTGGAGTCCTCAGGAAGCGTTAGAGCATCTTTCAACGGAGGTACCCAGTCGGGGTGCCAGGTGATCCGTTACACTCTTCACACAAAAAAACTTCAGCAAGCAGAAGTACCTTATGTGTTTGGAGTGCTCCTTTAAGTTTCATTACAAATGAATGAACTTATCAGTGAAATTGCAGGGTCATGATCTGTACACCAACACCTCTTCATAAAGCTAAAAGTTATTTTAGTACTTTGAGTTTCCCTTTAAACATGACCAATCCTTTCATGTACAGTTGTGGAGTCCAGTTAGATAGAGAAAAGTGTAATCCAACCCCTCCCACGTGATATCCATTAAGAACATTTGGCTTCCTCCAGGGTAAAAGTTATATGGGGTACAAAGGGGGTAGTATCTTCCAGTTAATATCTCTAACAAGAGTGACCAGCTGCTTCTTAATTGGGCCTAATGTAAAATAAGATTCTTGTAGCTTTGGCCTCAATGTACCTAGAGATTCCAAACCTTTTATAATGTGCTAATACAAATGTATGTTAGAACTAACCCATGACACATTTTGAGGTGCTGATACATAGTGAGGATCAAAGCACCGGTTTTACAATAGAATAATGACTGGTTAAAACGATAAAGTATAAATATGAACTATATATCCCATGCTTTTAGTAAAAAATTTTATTAATCAATAACAGTTATTTTTATTATTGAGTTTTCTGTCGGATCCTGCTCTAATTTAACATGCTAATATTAAAACGGATTTCTAAAAGCAGAAAGCACATGCAAAGAGCAAACCCCTGAGGGGTGGGGCTAGGCCGCCATGCTATAGGCCTTTCTAAATTATGTTTAATCAGTGGAATTGCCTCTGGTTTTTGATACAACTGTGTTTCTGCTTATTTGGGAAGCTTAGGTGCTTGCATCAACAATTTTCTGATTGAGATGGACTGCGGATTGGCTCTAAATCCCTGATTGGCATACCTGCTGTGTGGGCGTGGGAGAGATGGCCGCTCTCCTTCTGTCTGGGGGTTCTTGACACCACATCAAGACACTTTGCTTCCCCCCCCTTTGGACACGTGGGGGTCATCCTTGTCCCAGGAGTCAGTTTTGAGTGGTAGATTCCTACCTAGTCCCATATTGCAGCGACAATGGCACTTGGGGCCTGCACTTCACCATCATCGTGGGTAGCAGCCAGTATGAGCAGACTGGATGCCATATTTGAAGATTTCATATGTCTGATAACAAACAGGCAGGGAAGCTCAGAGACTGCTCCATTTCATTGGAGTACACAGGAAACCGTGTATGACCACAACCCACTTGAGGCTGCCATGTTGGGCTGGATACCCAGCAGAGTCAAACAGGTGCGGATGATTTAGGTCCTGTGTGGCCTTCCTGTCCTGAAAATCCAGATTCTTGGACTGTTCCTTGACAGAGCCCAAGAAGAAGTGAAGAATTAGACTTACCGGAGCTGCACTCAGGTTCCTCGAGAGGCTGTGCTGTCTTTCAAATCTCTAGGTGGCAGGGTGACATCAGACGCATGGGCGGAGACGCATCAGCGAAACCCGGAAGTCATGTGGGTAATGCCGATCGATCTGGCAACAACATGGGGGAATCCTGACAGCAAAGCAGTGCACTGGGGCCCTGCCTACACAACAACTAACAGGAATAAAATTTTTAATTATCGATAAAATTAAGCTTATATTTATTAGTACCTCCAACAAATGCTATAGATACATACAATACATACACACAGAGTGCTGAATACAGTCACAGACTGCTGAACACATGCACACAAACTGCTGAGTACACTCACAGACTGCTGAGTACACACACACACACACACACACACAGACTGCTGAATGCACACAGATTGCAGTGAGGGGTGCAGTGTATATGTTTGTGTGGAGGGGTGCTGTGTGTGTGAGGGTGCTGTGTGTGTGTGTGAGAGAGGTGCTGTGTGTTTGAAGGATTCTGTGTGTGAGGTGCTGTGTGTATGTGAGAGGTGCCATATGTGTGAGAGGTGCTGTGTGTGTGTGAGGTGCTGTATGTGAGGGGTGAGTGGTGTGTGTGAGAGGTGCTGTATGTGAGGGGTGAGTGCTGTGTGTGAGTGCTGTGTGTGAGAGAGTTGCTGTATGTGAGGGGTGAGTGATGTGTGTGTGTGTGTATGTAAGAGGTGCAGTATGTGAGGGGTGAGAGGTGTGTGTGTTGCAGAGTGTGAGGGGTGCATGGAGCCAAGGTGTTCTTGTTTTTGTTTTTTTAAATAATACATGTGCATTATTAATTAAATCTTCATGTCCCCCCAACCTTTCTTCAACCTTTGGTGAAGGTGGGGGGACACTGCCAGCCCTGGTGGTCTGGTGGTGATATATGATCTATAACCTGCAGCTCCTCTGGCTGCACTCTTCACTTCTCCCGAGTTAAACGCTGTGTTGAGTGTTGCCATCTCTTCCCAGGTCCCTCCCCCTGCTTCAGGGTCCTCCCGTCGACTCTCTCTCAAATGAAGGGCCTTTGGGCCGGTGAGGGAGATCTTTGAGGGCCCACGGCAAAAAAGCAGGGCCGGCAGAAAAGATCAAAAGATCTCCCCTGTCAGCCTGGGCACATGGGCAGCGCGGTGGGGCCCCAATGCCTGTGGGCCCTCGAGATCACCACTCCCTTCCCCAAAAAATTATTAATTTTACAAATGTGCTTTGGGGTTATATGAAAGCTTGGAAAAATACAAACAAGTTTGTTGAATGGTGCTTAGTATACTTATACCAATATACGTTGATGAGAGCAGCTGTAACACTCTGAGTACTCAAAACCCAGAGCCATGTGTAGGCAAGTTCTGAGGTGCTGATTTAAGCTTTATTAATACATTTCAAACTTATGTTTTTTAATATTGCACCAATTGTGCCAATATATTTTAAACTCTAATGATTGTTTAGAAGATGGCGTCATATTATAGAATAGTAAAAGTGAAGCAAGAACAAATAGGGAATAAAGAAATTGTTCCCACCCCAAAGTGCCAACACTATAATATCTACATTGTGTTAAAGCTAAATAAGATACAAAATTTCATTAATTTTACAACTGTAGAAAAAAAAAAAACAACTATTGGATTTTGGCTTCATATAGTTGTATATTTCTTGTACATATGTAGAAAAATAAAGCACACTCAAAATTTCAATATAGACCACTAGAGAGCATCACAGACAGAAGATGTCATACACGCAAACACTTATCTCAGGGGAAAAATCAAAAAAAATCTTTTTTTTTTTTTTACTTACTGGATGGTATCTTGGACTTTCAGCCACTTGATCCTGTTATTCTTATGATCAAGAATGCATTTCTTTCACTAGGAATAAAAAAAAAAGCCCTGAAAAAATAAGACAATTTGTGTCAGTCAAAAAAACTAATTGTTTTAATATTGTGAGCAGATATACAGGTGAAAAAATACTTCAAATGTAAAGTGATGTAAAGTGATGAGAGTACTCAAAGAACTTCAAAATATACAAATAAACGGTTTTATTTCAAAATTATGTACAGCAACATTTCAACCTCATTTCCTTGACGTCATGAGAAAGCCCTGTTTTTAGCTACACCAGGAGACCAGGGAATCCAC